TTACAAAGTGCAAAGGGGAAGGTCCCTAAAATTCCTTCATGCAGCGTTCTGTGCTTAGCACAGCAGAACCACCAGGGGCTCAGAGGATTCTTAGACAGCAGGAAAGAGAGCCACAGGACTTTCATAGGCATTCACCGTTGCCATCAACTTGAAACACGAGGAGCAACCCCACAAGCTCTCATTCAGTGAGACCAGTTTGCTGGTCACTGTTTAGAGTTCCAGATCAGAAAAGCTGATTTTGCTGGGACGGGGGCACAGGGAGGATGGTCAGTGCACGTACTATCTGATGCTACTCTTTTTTTTCCTTTTCTCCTCTCCTCCTATCACAGGATATCATTTGATACCAAGTTTTGTAATTGCCTTTAAAGTCCATGGTTTCAGAAGACAAAGAACAACAGGTGCTTCATCTATGGAAAAAAACCCCAAAATGCAACATAACAAAGGAATACATCAGTGTCCAATTTTCCCCCTTGTTTCATAGTCAGATGACAACCCTACCATCATATTGGCTGCTGGCTTCCTACACTGTTGTTATAAACATCTTGAGAGGAAAGGTGAGCAAGAGGGAGCAAAGCACAGGTAGACATGGGTTTTCTGGATGATTCCCTTTTGACACGACCTCAAGAACTGATGAGTTATACTGCAATAGCACCATGACTGACTGACTTACCTCATGTTCCCTGGGAACTGCTGCTTTCATTTGTGGTCCTTAGAGAGTAAAATAAAATTAAGCAGCCTGCCATGCAGATTAGATGGAACGTTCTTACAAGTTTACAACATGCTGAAGTCTAGACTTGTGGTCCAGACATCACTCCTCAAAACCAATGGCCTTGCCACAAATCTAGCCTGCACTGAAGGTGGCAGAAGTTGAAGCTGAGCCGTCTGAGGTTTGGAGCTTACCTTTGGGTGCTCAGCAAGGGAACCAGGCTAAGTTGGTGGAGGGCAGACTGGGTGAATGCATGAGGCTTCCTATGTTACTTATCTGCATAATGCTAACCCCAGGCAGGGAACCGTGTGTCCATCTTAAGAACAGGTGTGCTTGGGACAAGCCCAGTGCACCTGCCCAAGGTCACAGGACTATACACTAAGGACCCAGGAAACTCAGTTTCTACACTGATGTGCTTGATTTTTGAGTTCTGTCACCATATGAAGGACCGGCCTCCCATCTGTTCTCTCAATCCTCTGGCAAAACCCTGGACACGGAATTCTTTTCCATCTCCACATGGGAGTCAAAAGAGCTCGGAAGGTGAAAAGCAAGACGGCCCAGATCCTGGACAGTTGCTGTGGCCCATACCTGGGAGGCAGCTCAAAACTCTAATTGTAAGAAATCTGGTCTCCTCTCGCCCAAGAAGGCCACACACTGCTCTTCCACTCAATGGACTCCCTGTGGGGATTTTCCTGAAAAAGTTGAAGAAGATATGGGGATAAAATGCTAAGACTTGCGAGCAGATTTTTGAGGATGATGTATCTTGAGCGCTTGACACCCAGACAAATTGGAAAATAAGCAGGTTTCCAATGTCTAAGGATGGGCCAATCTCAGAGGTTATTGAGTAAAAAGTCAACACAGCAAAGTCAATTACATTATTGACAGATACTCTTACAAGGAGATTTCACATCATAATTATATGCAAAGGAACCCAGCAAATATAAGCTGGGTAATGATCAGCTAATAAAAGTAACACTTCATCTATGTCAATAACAGTTTCAGAGTTAAGACAAACAAACATGGCCTTTGCCACTCAGCAGAGGGGAAAAAAATTCCCGAAAGACAAATATTTTCACTTAAGGAGAAGTGCTTAGACTCACACAGAAAACCTGTCACACAAAGGAGAGGAGGAAATTGGTTTTTATTGGGTGCTAATGACTCTCCTGCCCTCCCTGGGCCCAGCCAAGGGACTGGGGCAGCAACCATAAACACTGGCACACCCACAGGAATCCTTGGCCACTCAAGGTCACTGCCTGATGTTCAGTTCCTCCCTGGACTATTGAAAACAGCTGAATTCAGTTTCAATGGCCACACTACCAAATGAAAGAATTTGAAAATTATAATGAATGTGAAAAAAGCAAAACGAGATCTTTCCCCAAACACCTCGTAGAGGGTTTTAGGCAACATTCCTCCATAGCTGTGTTTACGTTCATTTTCCTCACAGAGACCAGGAGCAAATGTCCTCAGTCTTAAAGAGCTTCCCTTAAAACTAAGGGGACAGTTGTGGAACTGATATTTGGACAAGTCTCTAATACACAATAAGATAGAGATAAGACACACACATAAGATAGAGATGAGACACATAAATGGAGATACACACTGGTCATCTCTATTTATGCAAATGGAAACTTGTCTAGTTTCTGCAAACTCTGGCTGTCTATTTTACCAAAATGATTTTGCTTGAACTCTATGATGCTTGGGATGGTCACTCCTTAATTGGACAACGCATGCTTCCATAGTGGACAAGCTGAGGTATTTTAAGTCACTCAGCCTCAGATTTGCCCTTTTACACTGATTCATATGTTGGGGCTGGGCTGGGCTGAGGTTGAGTGGGACTGTGCAGGTTACATTTTGCTTTATCACTTGACTCTGTGTTGACTCCATTAAAACGGGGGTGACACAGAGGTGGTGGGGGGAGAAGGGACACACTTCAGTCCGTGTTTCCTGCTTTCCTGTTACCCAGCAATGCCTCTGGCCAGTAGTGGTCTATTTCTTAATAGCGTCAGCAGCCAGCTTCCAGAATTACAGAATTGTGTGCCCTTGGAGGCACCGTTCCCTAGAAGCCAGGACCCCGGACCCCACTCCCTCCATAGAAGCCGGAGCTTCAGCTCCATGAGGCAATCATTCTACCTTCTTCCCTTTGTCCCTCAGCCTCAGGGTAGTGGCCGTGTCCTGCTTTTGCTTCCTCCTTGAGTGATACCTTCAGTGTTTACTCTCCACTCTTTTGGTTACCAACAGTTCTTTACCACAGAGTCTCTCTGTTCAAACCCTGGTGTGGCTGTAGCCCTGACAGACACCCACTTCAGCCCTGGACACTGTTCTGGCATCTTTTAATTTTGGGAGGAGCCCAACTGATGAGAACACATTCAGGGGAAATCGTGGGTACTTTTAAATAATGCCTCAAGAGGGGACTGGCCAGTGACATTTGCCATAATACATGTCATGAGGATCCCACTGAGGGCCAACCTGGTGTCCACCTGGCACCTCTGTGTCCTTCTCAAAGGAATGGCTGGACTCACAGCAAAAGCTGTGCTTGAAGGCACTCCAAGAATGGTCAGGACAATATCGAAAGTCTATATTTAGAATCTGCTAATGAAAATGCATTATGGCTCCAAGCAAGAATACTCTACAGTCTCAAAGTCTTCCTAATGAAAAAAGCAAACAAGGAGGTAAGGCAGAAAAGATTCCAAGAACGAATGAAAGACAGACTATGTCCCTTTCACAATGGGAGGCAAGGGCATCGGAACTTGGTTTCATGGCAGAGGTTTACCACTTACAAACTCAAGAATCATTGATTTATGGCAATTAGGAGAGATTATGGAGAAGAGTAAAAGAAAGACCTTCCCAAATAGTTTCAGAAAACAGCCCTTGTCAGGTTAGTAGAGATGACACATGGCTTTATGATCAATCACTATTCTAATTCTTACCAACTTCTCTTGTTGTCAGGTCCCAGGCACAAGAGTCTGCCCTACAGATTAAGCTACTTCCATCCTGGCAAAAGCAAGTTGTTTAAAGAGGAAGAGTTAAAAGACAAAGGCTTCCGGAGAGGCATGCCACAGCGGATCATACAAGGGAGTTTGACTTCGCATCTCCCTTGGGCCCGGCTAAACAAGACTTTCTGGGACGGTTTCCTTTGGGACTTGGAACACTATGAAAACAAAATGACCTTCAGGTGCAAACTTGGCCCTTAAATGCAGAAGAAAGGAAGGGACGATGCTGTAAAAGGAGACAGGTCTTTTGTAAGCAAGGCAGCCTGTGCTGGGCACTTTGTGACAGAGGATGAGGCTCCGTCCACTGAGTGAGAACATGTCCCATTTCTATGAGCAAGCTACTGAAGGCAGAAATGGCCACAGAGAGAAGTTACTAACACACAGGGTCATGTACCAAAGGGCCACAAGGGATGAGATGGGATAGATGGGGGTCACACAAAAGAAATTTGTCTCATGTGCCCAGACTAGCCACTTTCAGAAAAAAATTGTGGCGACATGGATGTTGAGGGAGATCTATGCAGAGGAAGCAAGAATAAGATGGGCAACAGTGGACATGTCTGGTGAGCAAATGTGACTCTAAAAGGGAGGATTAGGGGAGCGCAGGGGGATGTGGTAGGAGTGTGGCAGGGGCTTCTGCAGGTAGCCTGAGAAGCATGTTTTAGGAAACTGGTCTGGCAGTGCCTGGTGGCTGAGCAGAACAATGGGAGGAGGTTACCACATTGCACGTGGGGGTTCTAAGCTAGTGGTGGACCCTAATCTGGGACTCGGAGTGGACAGGAGGAAGATGGAGGCAAGGCATTTCCCAAGGAAGAGTTCACATGCTTCACCAAGTGAGGATCATGTCACCCACCTTCGATAGACCACCTGCCATGTTTCACGTGTGATTTTGCCTTTACTTTTCATCATGATCCCTTCCTTGGAGGCAGGGGAATTTCACAGATGGTGACCATGTGGCACTTTTCCAATATCCAGACAGATGAGACCCAACCCACAGGTGCAGGACAGGAAAGTGACAGGCTAGGTTTAGAATCTAACGAGGAAGCTCTTTACCCTTTTCTTCTACCCACCTTACCCTGCCTCCTACAAAGCAAAACAAAACTTTATTTAACAAGTCCCCATCTCCTTATCAGCAAAGAACCAGCATAATTCGATGGCAGAAGGAAAGACTGGCACTTGGAATGAGGGCACTGGAGGTTCTTTTGATTTCGCTGAACACCCAATCCAGGTTTGTCTTCACTAGTTAGAGGCTGGTCCTTTCCATCCTCTGAAGGGGCCCCAGGGGACAGCAGGAGCTCCTTCCTTACCTCATGGCTGCCGTCATCCCAATGGGAGTGATTGGCAACGGTCGGACGCCAGGAAACAGCCCTCGGCTCAGAACCCTCGCTCCATTCTGGATCACTCCCGGAGGAACTGGAAAAGTAAATGGAGAAAGGCACCACATGTGAATCAACTGTAAAGATTTCTATTCTAAGTCAGAAATTTTGGATGAGAGAGAGGAGGAGGAGACAGGAGGGCAAGAGAGGGAGGGAGAGAGCGAGAGAGAAAAGCATATGTATGTACACATATGGTGAGACAGACAGAAAAAGATACAAAGGAAGTAAGACAGAAGGAAAGAAAATTTGGTTAGAAAAGTCAGACCAATAACTTGCAAACAATTATCAATGCCTCCATAAAAAAAAAAAGTTGAGTTTTAAAAAGTGGGCTTCAGTACCATTTCCTTACACTTGCTATTAGAATCTTTTGTCTTTGGTCAGAACCTAAGAACATCTCAAGTAAACACCGACCCAGTAGGACTACAAATGACCTAACAGCCACATCTCATGCTTCTCGGGCCATGGTCAGAAGTTGAGAAGAACTTCCTATATGTCCTTCATCTAACAAGGGAAAGATACAGCCAAGTCTATTTCCTAAGCTACTGGGCCCCTCAGCCCTCACAACGCAGACCACCCTCACCATGACCTTCTTGGTGGAGGAAGGACCCCTCTTCAGGGTCCCTGGTGGGGAAGTTTCCTGCCGTATCTACCAACACCCTCCATGCGTCTGTGGGGTCAGGTGAGTATTGCAAAAATGAAAGCACGGCAGTTTAAACTCTCATTCTTCGTGTGTGACTTTGTGCAAGTCCCTGAATGTCTGCTTCCCACTGTGAGCAGTGTTCTTCTAAGACTGCTGCCCTCCCCAGAGCCCTGGGACAGTTGCACACAGAAGAAAGGAGGACAAACAGTGCTATTGCACACACAGACCGCTGAAAAGAACAGCAAATTATCGCATTCAAAAACAGAAAACCAGTCTGAACACTAAGTTTTAAAGCCAGTATTATTTGTGTGACTAAACTGCTTATTTTTAACAAAACAAATTACCTCTGCTATGTTTTACTTGTGTAGTTTTTAGGCTTCTAAGAATACGTTTTCATAAATATCCCAAGCATTTAACCAAAGGCCCGTCATGAAATGTGGAGGGTGAATGCCTACTCTCGAATATGGGAAAATTTTACAGACTGTCGATTCCTTGGACCTTCTGCACCTCTTACTGATGACTCTTCCATTTCTTCTCCAGGTAGGTGTGAGGCCCTTGTAATTAGGTCTTACAAAAGGTGGGATGGGAGACAAAATTGAATCTCTTGCCTAAGTCTACAATACACTCCAGCATTCCAGAATTTCCTTGGTCTCTTACCATAACTAATTGTGGGAGCAGGTGGGACCTGATCAGGGACTTCTCCTACCCCCAATTAGCAGTGACTGCAGACAATAGGCCAGGTTATCTGAGGTGGGAGACTTACCAAGTATCCTAAAAGCATGGAACAGTCACAATGTGGCATGTGAGTAGTTATATTGTGCTCAGTTGATGAGTTCCCTACAACTGGGAATGTCTACAGTTTTTATTATCTGATTTTGAAATTACAGGAATGAAGACAGTGTATGGGCATAAAGACCACTGGAAAAAAGTGGAATCCAAAAACAGACTCACATTTATGTGAAGATGGGGAAAAGAAGTGTCAGAAGGAAAACAAATAAACAAACAAACCTTGACCCTTACTTCATACCTCACATAAAAACTAATTAGAAATGGGTCATAGACCTAAATTGAAGAACTAAAATTGTAAAACTTGTAGAAGAAAATGTAGGAAGAAAATATCAATTGTTTCCCAGGGCAGACATATACAAAAGACTAACAGAAACTCTGGTTTGTAGATAGCTGCTTCAGTTTACAAAAAAATGGGCTTTTTGTTTGCTTGTTTTGGGAAGTGGGAAAGAATTTCAATTACTTTGGTTCATGACATTCTTCTAGAAATAGTTAGATGAGTCAGGTATGGTGGTTCCTATCTATAATCCCAGCTACTTGGGAGGTGGAGGTAGAAGGATCAAGAGTTCGATATCACCCAAGTAAAGGTAGTGAGATCCTATCTCAAAAACAAAATAAAAACCAAAGGGCTGGAGCATAACAAGTGGTAGAGTGTTTGCTTGGCAAGGTCAAGGCCCTGGGTTCAATTCCCAGTATCACAAAAAATAAAAGTCAGATAACCAGGGATTGAATTTATTTCTGAAATAGTACGTATGTTACCAGGGGTCTCGTGTAGAATGTTGAGTGACTCTGATACAATGGACCATGCAGCTAAACAACTTAAATACTGAAAATCTGTATCACAGTTCTAATTCTCGTCAGTAAAAACAACGCATACACAGGCTACACCATTAACTAAATTTTTCCTATGCCGTAGGTGAGCAGGAAGGACACAGGGCAACTGGAGTTAAATACAGGAGACAGAGATTAGGGAGAAAACGTGTGGCAAGTTCTAGTGCAGGGAGGCACAGACACACTTAACTCAAACCAACAGGTATCTGGGAAGACTTCCTGTACGAAGTGCCACCCATGTTGGAATTTGAAGGCAGAAAAGCAGCACATACAAATATGTGGAAGTGAGTTTTTTTTTTTTTTTAAAAAAGGACAATATGTACAAGGAGCTAAAGAAATTATGTTGCTTATCTTTTATTTCATGGGAAACCATGAAATGATTTGGAGCAGAGAAGCAGTCTGTATGGAAGTGACTGAGAGCCAGACTGGTGTAAGACCATCCTGGGTCTGTGTCCTACCTCTGACAATTACTGTGTCCCCAAAGTAAGCTGGGGGTCAAAACACATAGTTAGCTCTCAGGTACTGAGTGATTTAACTGAGTAACAGGGGCACTTGGAGTTAGATGAAGACCACAGAAAAAGCCTGGCAGTTGTCACCTTCCACATCACCAACAGTATCACCTTCCACAGCAGACTCCCTAGCTGCGGTGCCTTCTCCATTTCAGATGAGCTGAAAACCCCACAAGAACGGAAGGACAAGACATGAGCCAGACCAAGATGGCACAGTCCTGGCGACAGAGTGGCTGGAAGCTCAGTGACCACTTGTGGTGTTTCTGTTCCCGTGTGTATCATGTCAGAGTCACCACTAGAGTGCAAAACCTCAACATCTGAAAATGGGCAAAGACTACGAAGTCCTAAACAGGAAGAGAGCAAGTGCGAGTCATGGAGTCCATGAGTTTCTTAACTCTGGCGGGGCCACAAGTCATTTCCAATGAAGAAAAGTAGCCAAGGACAGTGGACCCCACGTACATGGTCCTCTGTGCAGATGCCCAGGAGCGCTCCAGCGGGAAGGAGATGCAAAGGCAAGCCAGGCCTCCCCAAACACCCACTGGAGACCCAGTATTGTGGATGCTCCTATCTCACTGAGACCTGCCTGGGAATATCCTGCAGTGGTTAAGAGGAGGCCGTGGCTTTGGCACCTTAGTCTTCCTGTGCCTGTTTCCTCACCAGTAAAGCAGTCATAAACACACCTCAGTTTGTTCTGAGGATTAAATAAGGTAAACTTCATAGATGACTTAGCTCAGTGGCTGGCCCTTGAGCACTCATTGTTGTCGTCGTCATCATCATAGTCATTGTCATCCTTATCCTTCCACCTTCCCACATCACCTCTCTAGAAATCTCTGGTTAATTATCTAGAAGACACAGGGCTTAATGGGGTCAGGGCACAGGAAGTTCCTTCACTCTATCATGTTTTTGCATTTACCCGGTACAACATCTTTCTGATTCACACAGAAAGAGAAGCTCGCACACAGAGTGCTCCTGTAGCATTACCAGGCTTGCCTGAGCCATTCCTGAACCCACAAGACTCCTGACACATGAACTGGTTCATCCTCTGCATCCTGGAGCTTGTTCTCAAATGAGCCACACTGAACGCTGCCTCTGCCAATCCTGGCATTTCTTAATTCTTCTCATTGCCAGCACTCTCCATATTGAGATGGCGGATGAGCTGGTGTTTGCTCACTGGCTGCCAGAAGCCAGCTGTGCCACTTAACTGCTCCCCCATGTCTTCTTCCTTTCTGTCCCCATCCCTAAGTGTCAGGGACTTGGCTTCTGAAAATCACATCACAGCCAGTCTAATATGGCTCTGCCCAAGAAAGGCATCTGAGAGCCATGGGCCACTACTTTTTGATCTTTAGGCCTTGTCTACCAGCACATCTATTCTTTTCCTCCTTTTACTTTCTATTTCCCTCAAAGAGCATAAAGACAGAATGACATCTTTCTAACTGATCTGCCTCACTCAACAGACCAACATGTGGCTAAGTTCCATTAAGTCAAAGACCTAAGAAAGTGCACAATTGAAACCAGCTTCTAGCTGATTCGTGCTCTCACTAAAAGAGGCCCAAGCCTCTAGCATCATCTTAACTCATGGACCAGTTAATGCATTTTTATAGGAGGAGACGCAGGTCGGGGGCTCTCATGTTGCTGGAATAAGGTGCTACAGACTTTAAGCACCAAAATCTCCAACATTTGCTGGCCAACCATGTTCTCTGAAGTTAAGAGATTGACTCAAAATGTTCTGACTTCAGCAAGAATCCAACCATCACATAAAAATAGAGCCAAACCAAGCAGCACTCAATTCATTGTAGACGCTGTGATCTTAAGTGACAATGCAATTTGGGAGGCTTAGAAAAGAAAAGGTCTGAGGCATCAAACTCACACTACATGGTTCCCAGCCCTTTCCTAATTTCCTTCTTGATGCACAGCTTCCCTAATTTTTTTTGCAACTTCTAAAATTAGCCTCAGTTGGGAGCTCCTACGGCTACCTTTGGAGAGCAGCCCTGGGCTAATGCTACCATAAGCTCAGCCATAAGCTGAGCAGTAGGTGATTCCTATAATCCCTTCCCTTCCCTAAAAGCACCTTTTCCCCAGCTTGCTTGGAAGCAGGTTGAGGGGAGTGGCATGGCTAGACTCAGCCTGTCCCCTGGTTGCTTTTATTCTGCTATGCCTGATCCATACCTCAGTTCTCGGCAGGGTGTGGGGCGCTGCTTCTCACTTCTCCCTCGGTCTGTTTTGTTGTTTGGTTTATTATCTAGAGTTCAGCTCTGGGAACATTTCCACCAGGGATTATATAAGCCTTTGAAGATGAGTCATTGTGATCTGGCTCTCCCGACTCAGTAACAATTCCTCCACAGGGGTTAAAGATGACTCAGAGGACTTGTCAAAGGGTTGCCTCAAGGGAGGTGCTGGAGGAGATGCCAGAAGCTGGTCACTTTTTTAGGGGGAGAAAAAGTAGGGTGGGTGGATGGATTTTGACTTCCAAAGTTAGGTAGACACCGAGCCAACCATGTCCCACACTGGCTGTTCCTGAAGAAGCGTCCCATGCTGCAAACTGGCAAAGTCTGGAAAAAGCTAATGTCACATGCACCGCAGGTGCTGCCAGGTGGACAAACTGTTGGAGATGGAGGTTTTTATTAGCTGCATCCTGCTGCCTCAGTGAAAGGGAAGCATCAGATTGAAATGAGAGGTGGAGGGCCCCATCGGAACTCTAGCCCAAGCAATTCAGGGTGTGGGGAAGCGGGGAGCACTCTGGGCAGTCTGGACCCCTTGGAGAGAATGAGGCTTGCACTGACCAGAGTTCTTCTCACTGGTGTCTTGAGTGCTTTTCTTTTCTGTGACCTACTCAGTCTCAGACTCTGGATGGTGGCCAATCTGCCAGCCTTGAGCTAGCTTTGCAGATGCTGAGCAAGGAAGGGGAGGAGGAAAGAAAAAGATCTGAGGGGCTGCCATCTGGTGACCTGAAGTGGAGTGACTGTGGAAGGGGCAATGACAAAGGAACATCCTTTCAAGTCACCCGGGCTCTAGCGAACAGTGCAGAGATGAGATTGGTCGCTCCCGTTCAGATAGGGACACGAAGCAGCCCAGAGGTGAAAACATATTGCTATAAATAGCAGAGCACGAGGAGGCTCTATAAACAGAGCCCAGCCGCAGCCCAAACCCCAGGGGAGAAGGCAGGCAGGAGACACAAGTAGTTCTCAGAAGCTACACTCCCTGCTCCTGGGCAGTGGGCCTGACCCTGACCTTGGAGAAGGTCTGTATACAGCCACCCTGGGGACACATGCTCACAAACCCCACCATGCAGGCCCCCTGTACTTCATCACTGTGTTTGGCTGCTGTTTTTAAGCACTTTGCCTAGGAATCAGGCCTTACTTTTTTGAGACCTGAGACAATGCTGGCAGGGAAGGGGAAGGTGGCTTAATCATTCCGGCTCTGTAATGCTTATTCCTTATGGAGACAAGATATCACTGAAATCCCAAGGCAAGAAACATTTTACAGTATAAATGGAAAATAAAGGTGGTGGGGGCGGGGAGCATGAAGCAAAGAAGATGGGGCTGAGAGGAGAGGTTGACTGCTGGTGCTCTTCCCCCCAGGCTGGGTCAAATAGGAGTTGGGGACAAGACAACTGGCTTTATAAGTGCACAGTGTATGTGCTCTGAGATAGCTTCACTCCTTTCCTGTGATGTTGCTCTAATCTTCAGGGGTTTTGCAACCTGCCTATTGACTGTGCTTACACTTGCTCTCCAGGGCTGGAGGTGGTGTTTCTACCCTCTCCCTAGCCTTCATGTTTACATCTCTGCTGCACCTGTCCTTGAGTGTCTCCCGAGTGACTCTGGGAGACATCCTTGGTTCCCTCCTTGGCTTGTGGCCTTCATGAAGGCTGTGGCTGGGTTTTTTACACAGTGGTAATAATCTTTAAAAAAAAGCCTTCTAATAGGATTGTACAGCTTCAAAACATGAGCAGTGGACTTTGAAAACTCAATTTAACATTCCAAAGAAAATAGTACTCTGGATACCCTGGAAAGAGAATCATATACAGTTGGAATTAGGGATGGAGAGGGGAGAACCATGAGAACATTAAGAAAAACAAAAAACAAAAAAAACCTCATCTGCCAGCTAATCAGGGGACCTCTACCTGTGCTCAAGAATCCAGTAATGAGGGAACTTGAGAAAAGTGCTGAGGACCCGAGAATGCTCCCTTAGTCCTTCCCTTGCCTTTTCCAGAATCCCCATTTACCATCTTAACTCAGCAACCAGCTAATCAGAAGTACTTTTTTAAACTCATGATCACAGTATACAGTGGCTGGGAGCCAAGGAAGGCACTCAAATCTTACATGGCTCTGATGAAATCAGTATGCTTCCGCTAAGAGTTATGCAACTTGATTTTAAGAACCATTTCAGTCAGTAACTTGATTACAATCTGGTCTGTACTTTTCCTGTGAGACCATCTAAGAATGGAGGTTTTAAGTATATATTCCTCTGAAACTTAAAACATCATTTCAAAGCCACATTCCAGGTTAAATACTAGTTACAGAACTATGCCTGTGACACATCTGCTTAGCAGTGTGGTTGGCTGGTTAGAAGCATAGGCAGCCTAAGTGCAGCAAATCTGAGGTTAGTAGTACAGGGAGAATTCCACACTGTTAGGGGCAGGTAAGAGCAGCCCCAGGCAGAGGACCAGGTCTCTCTGAGAAGGCTTGAGTATTGCTTGGATCTTTGAAACAGGAACAATGAAGAATGGAGTCAAACTTCCTAAAGTCGCCAGGAAAACTAGGGCAGGTGGAGGGCTATGTGGGATGGTTTGGAACTTTGCATCAGTTCACTATGACCTATTGCAGGCCTCAGGATGGTGTTTGCCTGTGGGAAACACTACCATCTCCAGAAGTGGGGAATTCTCACTGTGCAGGTCATCAGGCATTCAGATTGCCAGAGCCCTACAGGAATGAGACAAGTGGGCACCATCCCTTAGCAGTGTCATGGTAGGGTCTGCCATGATGTCACCCTCTTCATACCAAAGTGCTTCATCAATAAGAAGCTGTGATGCAGCAGTGTCATGAACAGATCGCGTGGTGTACCAACGGTCTGTTAGCTCAATGTGGCTCTCGCTCGGCATGGGATATGGACAAGGCGTTAGTCTCAAATTGGGAGGAGTGAGGGACAGATATCTTTAGTGAAGGTCATTTTCATCCCTTGGGAAGGGACTGTCCTAAAACCACAGCAGTTTAGCTAAAAAGATGTGAAAAACACCAGGAGGTGGGTAAAAGTGAAGTCCAAGTGAGAAGAGTTGTTTCAAACTTGACATTGCTCAATGGCTCACAGACAGTGAAGACTGGAACTCCTGCTTAGGTAAGTCAGCCTGGCCTCTCAGTATCTTCCTGGAAGGCTGGGTAGAGATGATCCAGGAAGTATCAGGGTTCAATTTTAAGGCTAGTCTAAGCTTGGGCAGGCCAAACTATCCAAAATGGTGGCTGGGTATTATTGATGAGGACCCAGAAAGGAAAAGAAATTTCTAAAAATGGGTACTCGAGCAGCCCCACCATTGGCCCCATAGAGCCTCTCCTATAAATTCATAAGAACAATTCCTGTAGGAGAAAGGCAGTCTCTCCACTGGGACTCATTATGGGGTTTTTCTCCAGCTTATAATAAGCCCTGATCTTGTATTAGAACTTTCTTGTCTTGGAAGCACACCTATGTATTCATTCACATATATGAATGGCTGCATGTTTATATGCAAATGCATGTAATCATGCCCTTGGGTAATTTTTAAAGTGATTTACAAGGGAAGGTCTATTTCAACATTAGTTCCTCCTGTGGCCTGGGATATAAATGAGAAGGTTAAGTTCACAAACTATGGTGCTGTAGGCTATAGAAGTATCTACTCACAACCTGCTTGTATCTCAGGGGGAGTATTCAAAAGCATCATGGCACTGGCAGCATCAATGTCAGGATCTGGAAAAATCAACCAATAAATAACATTATTTACAACGGGGCTGGTGTGTGTCTGTGTGTATGTGTGTGTGTGTGTGTTTCTCCCCCTGCATGTTAGCTTATGAATGCAACAGAGAAAAAAAAACCAAAAAATCCGGGAACTAGGTGAGCTATCCCAAAGGTGACTTTTTTACCATTTGGATTTCAGAGAAGGAAAAGGATTCTTGAATGAGATTTAAGGAGCATGTTAGTAAGTTCTTTTTTTTTTTAATCAGTTGAGCATGGTCTATTCTCGTTTTGTTAATGTCGTAATTTGAACTGTATGTTCCTGATAAGTTGCTGATCTAGGCACCCCTTGGCTTTTACGGTGGGGTGGAGGAGCAGGAGCGATGACTGACAAAAGGAAGTTCAGCCACCAGGAATCTTTAATGAACTGGGCAAAGCTCACAGAATCAAGAAGAGAAAGCACTAAATATACCTGCATCCACTGAGATAGAAACAAGACATTTGGTCATTTCCATTTGTCAGCAGAATGTGAATTGTATTTTACAAGGTTATGTGTGTGTACAGCGGTGGTGAAGGTGATGAAGGCATTTTTTAAAAAGCACTTAAAATATAAAGAAAAAATTAAAGTTCTGATGTTGAGGCACAGTGTTTGCTCCCACATCTTTTACTGCTTTTAATATTTGGACTCCTCCAAATACTTACCTCTTCATTGCTCTATTCTTAATAGGTCCCTGAATCCTTACCGATCCACCAGTTGACAGATGGCAGGTTATATAGAGACAGAGAAAAATATTATCCTTTTATAACTAAATTCATTTTCCTCTGAGAAACAGCAGTGCTGCTGCTATGGAAATGAAGGTCACCATGGCAACAGTAAACAACCCCCAAGAATGGTCACTGAATAGGCTGAAAAGAACATCTGCCCCAGCCCAGCGTCCCAGCTGCCCTGGGGCGAAATTTGCTAATAGTGCCGTGATGCCCCGTGACAGAAGCTGACGCCTGTGCCCTGTCCAAATAAATGAAGTGTACAATTGAAGTCGACATCAAAATGCCTGCCTGTGCAGATTACTGCCTCTATGTCCGCTAAACCAGGTGACTAATGATGGGGCGAGAAGGGGGGCTTAGGCTTGTCAGTTTTTATACAAATTACATACCCAAAAATTCAATTTACTGCTAACGGCTCCATGGCACTTTATTTTGGGTATTATGTGAGAAAATTACTTTTTTACTGTTTAAAAAAGTACATTTTTCATACTTTGTATGTGCGGTGTAATTGCAAGGGAGTAATGCTACATACACAGTGTAAAAGTCCCACCAGTGAGTAATAGTAAGGATGATGCTGGTTTCAGAAGGCAATGTCTCAAAAGAAAAAAAAAGTAAAGGAACTTTACTCTGCAGGCCTTCTTCTATTGTGCCTGCAGGAGGCCTGTTACTCACACTCCATAATGGAATAAAAGTTTATTTTAGTAAGTACATGGCATAAGAAACAGGTACATTAATTTATTTGGCAACTCCTGGGGTAAAATTCCTCAAACAGTCATCCCTCTCCACTGAGTGATTGACTGAAAAGCCTAAACTTCTACTCACTGCTCCCGGGATCCCCACAGCCCCTGCCCCTTTCATCACCCCACAGGACCTGCTGTTGGGACACAGGACTCATAGTCTCAGTGTTACTGCTGGCACCCATGAGCTGTGAGGGACAAGCTTTGAAGTTCCCCTTTCTCTCCTCCTTTTTGAAAAGGGCCTTTTCCCTTCTCAGAGATGGGCCAGAAAATGCACCATTTCCTCTATGTAAGGTTCACTGCCATCTTTGAGAATGCAAATGTGACGGGTGAGCCTGGATTAGTTTGGCTCGATGGTGTCTATCTCCCCAGGTGACCAGGAGGTTCACTGAGTAAGCAGAAATACGTATGAAGTCAGGAGTCCTTTCTTGTTTATTTGGCTAGCAAATGAAAGAAAGTTCTATATCCTTTAAAAACACACTGGACCTCAGGAACAAGTTCAGAGGGCCATAGATAATCAAAGGCACAAAAAAAAAAGGAAAAAGATGGAAGAGAAAGACAGCCTGAAAGGAAAAGAGTCTTAAAAACACTTACATGAGTTTAGGAGAACCAACCCTCGAGGGAGCACTTCAGACCCACCCAACCACCCTCCATAACGCCCACCCCACCCACACCTAGCCAAGTAGCACAGGATGCTGAAGGACTAGCCCCTCATCCTTCCTTCAAACTGGATGTGCCATGTCTGATGGAACTCACGCTGGTCTCCAGGCACTCTGGGTAAACACGATCTCACTTATAATATGTTCCTTCAGCCCCACTCTCAGTTCTGAAAGGACCAGTTCCTAACTAGCCCTAGGCTGAGAAAGGAATGGAGAGCAGGGATGAAGTTCTTCTCTCTTGAATGAACTGGCAATCCATCCAACCTAAGAACTGTAAAACAGTATGCACATGTGCACTAGCACCCCCAAGTACCAGCTCTTCCCCAGGGGGATACAGTGGTTGTCATCTTTCCCCCCACCTCAAAAAAAATCAACTTTATTGAAGGCTAATTTATATACAATAGAGAGACCATTTTTAAGTGTAGAGTTTGATGAATTCTTATATATTTTATAACAATGTTATCATGACCCTGATCAAGATGAAGAACACAACAAAGAAACACATTTTCATTACCCAAAGTTTTCTGGGGCTCAGTGCAGACATACTTATCCCTGTCCTGGGCAGCCACTACTTTGCTTTCTGTTACTCATCCATGATATGCTGCCAGTAGTGGACTCCTTACAGCTGTTGAGTACTAGAGTCCACTGAATGGACATACCACAATCTGTTTATCCATTTGCCTGGAGATTGACATTTGACTTATTTCCAGCTTTAGATATTTTATATATTCATAAATCTGCTATGAACTTTTGTACCATTTTTCTGGAATGTGTTCCCCCCACCCCTTGAGTAATTACTGATAAAAGCATGTTTACTTATAGGAAATTGCTAAACCATTGTCCAAAGAAGATGCATCCAGAGTAAGGTCTAGCTCGATCCATACTTTTGCCAACACTGGAAATCATCAGTGTTTTCAATTTTTAGCTATCAAGTAGATGCAGAGTGGTATTTCGATGTGGTTTTAGTTTGTGATTCCCTAATAACAAATGGCACTAAGCATTTTCTCACGTGCTCAATGGCCATTTGTGTGTCTTCTTACAGGAGAAGTCTGTTTATATCTTCTACTTTTCATTTGGGTTGTTTAACTTATTATTCAGCTGTATGATTTCTTTAAATATTCTGAATATAAGTCCTTTGTAGAGACAGGTACCGGTGGCTCACACCTATAATCCTAGCTACTTGGAAGCCTCAGATCAGGAGGACTGCAGTTCAAGGTCAGCCTAGGCCTTCTGGAGATTCTATCTCCAAAATAACCAAAGCAAAATGGACTGGAGGTGTGACTCAAGGGGTAGAGTGCCTGCTTTGCAAGTGCAGAGCCCTGAGTTCAAAGCCCAGTACCACCAAAAAGAAAAAGTCCGTTGTGAGATATGTATTTTTCTCAGTCCATTTCTTACTCATTCAGTTTCTTAATGGTATCATTCAGTAAGTATTTAATTTTTATTAAGTCCAATTAACTGATTTGTTATTTTATTATTTTATAGCTCAGTGCCTTTGTGTCTCAACTAAAAGTAGCCAAGATTTTTTGCTAAATGACATTTTTTGTTTGTTTTTCTCATTAATATACTAACTATGCTGTCTGGATTCAATACTCTCATTTACAGGTAAATGAAAATGGAAATAATCAACCAGACCTCCTTCCTTATTCAGTAAACTGTATAAGCATAGACCTCCTAAAATTGTACAGAAGGACACTCTTTGGTTCCTGGTGTGAACGCAAGGTAGCCTAAGAGAAGCCTTTGTCAGCCATTTTCCATGGAAAAGGTCTTGGATTCTCTGCTAGATCATCTGAAATGCCTTTATCCTTGTACCTCCCTGACACCCAGTGTGTGCTCACACTCCTGTCTCTCCTCTCCAAAGAAGAGCTGTTACAATTCTTATTCTTAGCTACTATTAAAGTTTCTAAGTCTCCCTCCCACTTTTTAATAATCATGACAGTAATGCATGCTTAAGATTTTAAAAAACTACGTATATACAATTTGAGAAATAAATACCGCTTCACTCAGTCTCAGACACCTACTTTCTTGTATAAATGTCTAGAAACTATCTATGCAAAACAAGCATATGTGTATATGCTTTGAAACACCAGCACACATATATTTATACCCAGGCACATGAATCTGTTTTGAAAAAACAGGTTTACGATCGTTTCCCCCTTAACTATGATTTTGCTTTCTGGGGTTTCAGTTACCCACAGTCTGAAAATTCTGGGTGGACAACTCCAGAAATGATTCATGATTTTTATTATAGTGCATTACTATAATCATTCTATTTTATTATTAGTTATTGTTCATCTCCTGCTGTGTCTAATTTGTAAATTAAACTTTATCATAGGTAGGTACGACTTCAAGTATTGGTAGCATATATAGGATTTAGTACCATCTTTGGTTTCCGACTGGGCGGAGGGGTCCTAAGGTCAAGACCTAGGAGAGGGGAGCTGTGGATAGGCTGTAGAAGATTCTCCCTAGGAGGGGTGGGGTGGGATACCATGGTTCAATACAGTTTATCAACTTAAGAAAAGAGAAAGGTATTTTGCCCAGGAACTCTTTTAGGAATAAAGAGCCCCCTGGCAAGGGGCATCCTTCCTGTTGTATTCTGGAAAGCCACATGAAGCAGAAGGGTGCAGAATAACATAGTATGATGTTTGGATGGGGGATTCCTCTCAACAGCACAAAATTCAGCATCCTGAGAGGGGAACCCAAATCATTTACTGCCGCTTAATTTGGTGTAACCCCAGCATGCGTCATGGGTGCTTAACAGAGTTCTGACCATCACCAACACTCAGCCAATCTCAAATCCCATGTTCAAATAAACTCCTCTTTGCTCATGCTTCAGTAACAACGCTTCTTCTCCTCT